CTCCGTGCTGTTGTCACCCTGTTGATGACGTCAGCTGCGCGGTTTCGTCAAGCGCGGTTTAGTCGAACGCGGTTTTGTGGTGGAACCCTTAAAGCATGCCAGCTGAGGGATCCTCTACTCACCCGTGCAGTTGCTGTGCTGCACAGTGACCCTCTTGATCTCGCCAAAGTTCACGTCGTACTCGCTTCCTTCCTCCAGGTTGTTGTTCCTGGCAAAGTTCCCCAACGGAGTGGCTGCGCTGTAGGGGCTGCCGCAGGGGGCTTCAGGGTCCAAGCCTTGGAAATCTCCCTCCGAACTCCCGGACATCTGATGTTGCTCCAAGTCTCCAGGACATTCGTCGGAATGAGGCTCTTCCGTTTTGATCACCACCCTGATGCCAGCTGCGGGGAGGAAAGTGTCACAAAAGCTTCGATTGGTCCGGTACTGGTGGTCCTCGCGGCTTAACGACAGTTGGCTTAGCAACCATTCAAAGTTACAACGGCCCTGAAAAAAAGCAACTTGGGGCCATTTTCACACTTACGACCGCTGTGTGGACGTGGTCACAATTCAGACGCTGTGCGAACTGACTCATCTTTACGATGGTGGCACTGTCCCGGGGTCATGTGATCGAGTTTTCCGACCGTCTGACAAGGAAGATCAACGGGGAAGCCGGATTTCCTTAACTACTCCAGTGATTCCCTTAACAATCCTGGGAGTCCTCCCGTCTTAAAGCCTAGCTGGCTGGGGGACTCTGGGTTGGAGTCTTCAAGTGAAATGAGATTAATCTCATTCTAGGCTAACCCCTGCCTGATCTAAAGATAATTTCATTTAATCTCCTTGCAAATCTCTTCCCAACGGAGGCGGGGGCTCACCTGCTGTGGGGTCGGGAAGCCTTCCCTGTTCTTCTGAGTCCTGTTCGTCGGTCGTCCGCTCGGTCTGCGACAAAACGCCTGGCTTGGAAATGGCATAATCTGCGGTGGGGACAGAGGGGGTCAGCCCTTAGATTTAGGGCCATGTGACCAGACTCGGGTTCAAAATGCACTGGGGGGGGGGGCGGTCAGATATGGGGAGGTTCAGAAGCAGGGAAGCATAAGGCATGCTTGAGAAACGTAACATATTTGCCCCTGGGCACTTAAAGCAGATGAAAGAGATGGAGAGGGAAGGAGAGGGAGGGAGGGAGGGAGGAAGAAAGAGAGAGAGAGAGAAAGAAAGAAAGAAAGAAAGAAAGAAAGAAAGAAAGAAAGAAAGAAAGAAAGAGAAAGGAAAGAGAAAGAAAGAAAGAAAAAGGAAAGAAAGAAAGAAAGAAAGAAAGAAAGAAAGAAAGAAAGAAAGAAAGAAAGAAAGAAAGGAGGGAAGAAAAAGAAGGGAGGGAAGATGGAAGTAATGAATTAATGATGGAAGGAAGAAAAGAAAGAAGGAAGGAAGGAAAGAAGGAAAGGAGAAAGAAGAAAAAGGAGAAAAGGAAGAAACGAAGAGGGAGGGAGGGGGAGGGAGCCCCCTCCTCAAGCAGGAGACTGTTACAGAATTATGGTATGACAGAGTTATGGGACATTAGAGGTCATCTAGTGCAGCCCCCTGCTCAACCAGGAAACCCTAGACCCTTTGAGACGGGTGGCTGTCCAGTCACTTCTTGAAAACCTCCAGTGATAAAGAACCCACAGCCTCTGGTGGCAAGCAGTTCCACTGGTTAATTGTCCTCACTCTTAGGGCATTTCTCCTTAATTCCAGGTTAATTGCAGCCCACCCACCAACCCACCCGAATGGAGCAGAGCTGTGGCCCCTTACCCAAAGAGACCAAGGACTGGTGGTTGCCCTTCATCAAATTCTTGTAGAGTTCCTTCTGCCATTCTTCCAGTTTCTCCCATTCCTTCTCGTTGAAGTAGACCGACATGTCGTCAAAGGTCACTGGCACCTGGAACCACAACACTCAGCATTAACACCTGTCAGAGAAAACTGAAACCTCTCCCCTTCCTTCCTTCCTTCCTTCCTTCCTTCCATCCATCCATCCATCCATTCATTCTTCTTTCCTCCAAGTAGCACTGATGATGTTCCCTAGTTGGGTCATGAAACATCTGCAAGGAAACCACCCAGCTCAGAGAGCACCAAGGGTTCCACCACAAATGCGCAAACAACAAAAGCGCGCCTGACTAAACCGCGGTGACAAAACCGCGCCGACAAAACCGCGCGACGAATGAGCGACGAATTAGCCCTAAAGCGCGCCGACAAAAGCGCTCCGACAGAAGCGCGCTGTAACATAATCCTAAACCTAACCCTAAACTAACCCTAAACCTAACCCTAGCCCTAGCCCTAACCCTAACCCTAACCCTAAACCTAACCCTAAACCTAACCCTAAAACTAACCCTAAACCTTACCTTAACTTAAATCGCGCTTCTGTCGGCGCGCTGTTGTCGGCGCGCTTTTGAAATCGCGGTTTTAGCTCCGCGGTTTTGTCGGCGCGGTTTTGTCGGCGCGCTTATGACATTCGCGCTTTTGTCGGGTCACGAGCACCAAGGACCCCACAGTCCTCTTCCTTCCCTCCTTCCCTCCTCCCTCCCTCCCTTCCTCTCAGATCCAAGGCCAACCGAGCAAATATGGCTCATTCTCAATAAAAGAGAATATTTAGCAGTTAGCAGTTAGCCTTCATAGGGCTTTCAGCCCTCTCTAAGCAATTTACAGAGTCAGCACATTGACCGCAACAATCCGGGACCTCATTTTATCCACCTCTGAAGACTGGAAGGCTGAGACAACCTTGAGCTGGTGAGATTAGAACCGCTGCAGATAACAGTCAGCTCAGGAACTCAGGGTTGAGATGACCGGCTGTGGTTTTGATTTGATTTGATTTATTGCATTTCTATTCCGCCCTATTCCCAGAGGGGCTCAGGGAGGCTCGCAAACCAAGTAAGGCGGGGGTGGGGAATACAAACAGGGGGGAAACAACGGACAACAACTACAAACAATTTAAAAACACTCCACAACCACACAATTTGAGCGGGGGAGGGGAACTCGTTCAGCCCCAGGCCTGTCGGAACAACCAGGTTTTAAGGGCTTTGCAGAAAGCCTGAAGGGTGGTGAGGGTCCGAATCTCCACGGGGAGCTCATTCCAGAGGTTTTCTTACTGACATTTCATGACTCAACTAGGGAACATCATCAGTGCTAGAAGGGAATGGGGTTTGTAGAGAGGAGGAGGAAAATGGAGAAGAGGAGAAAATGGACTGGGAGGTCCTTCGTGCTGAGCTGGATGGTTTCCTTGCAGACATCTCATGACCCAACTAGGTAACATCATCAGTGCTAGATGGGAGGAGGCGGAGTTACATAATGAAACGTCTGCCAGAAAACTGCCGAGCACAGAGAGCACCAAGGATCCCACAGTCCTCCTACTCCCTCCCTCCATCTCCTCCTCCTCCTCCCTTCTAGCCCTGATGACGTTACCCAATTGGGTCATGGAACGTCTGCAAGAAAACAACCCACCGAGGATCCCAGAGTCCTCTTCTCCCTCCCTCCCATCTGCCCACCCATCCTTTTTCTTCCTCCATCCCTTTCTAGCCCTGATGAAGTTACCTAGTTGGGTCATGAAATGCCTTCAAGAAAACCACCCAGCTCGCAGTGCGCCAAGGAGACCATCCCCACCCCCCCCCCCAGTTCAACCCTAAAGACTCTATGCTATTGGTGCCTATGTTTAGCCCGGAGAAGCAAGGTGAAGAGGCAGCTCCCCTGGCTGGGGAATTCTGGGAGTCGAAGTCCTCACATCACACCAGGGTTGAGGAACACCGCTAGGAAATAGGGACATTTCAACATATTGGACAACCGTACGAGCAACGGGACAGGTAACGTTTCCCGTTCATACATAAATGCTTGATGCCGGAAACACGTGGGCTTGGTGCTCCGTGTCGAAATTGGATCCCTCCCTCTTTCTTCCTTGCTGGCTGGCAAGGGATCCGGTAAGGTCATCCTATCTGATCACATTTCAAGCCCGAGTGCCATTTCCGAACGAAGCTCACCGAGCCCAGCCGCCTCTGTCATGGGGACAGCCTCTCCACCAGGGGCCACCTGGATTTTAAGAAGACCCCCCAGACCCAACCAGCCACACAGCCCGCCGTTGTGTCGAGGCTTCCCCGCAAACAACACTGCGTCCCTTGTTGCGAAATGCCAACAGTGTTGTCATTCTGACCTTCCGACCACGTTTTCCCAAAAATAAGCCCTGGCGAAGGGAGGTGGGCACAGCCAGCACAGGAGGCGGTGAGCATGCGCGGACCAATAGCGTTTGGCAGCAGCCGCAGCCCGCGCAACGCGAGTGAGCTCATCATCTGCCCATGCAGCGGGTGGAGGGAGAGGCACGGTGGGGGGAAGGCACATGATCTGGACCACACGGGCCACAGGAAAACCGAGTGTCGGTCGGCCGGAGCGGTGGGTGGCCGCGAGAACCTCGTCTTTGTGCTTTCGGGGCTCCCCTGCGGGACGACCGGATCACCTGCCTTCTGCCCCCCAGCTTCTGACTCAGGCCTATCGACTCTTACACGGTAACTTCTCGTTTCAAAGGTTGACAACCGAAACATTCAGGGGGTTAATGAGCTGACAAGGGGGGCAAAAATGTAGACAAAAATTCAACAAACACGATCCGGCAGCTTTGCAATCATCAACCGTCTACAGCAGTGGTCTCCAACCTTGGCAACTTTAAGACCTGTGGACTTCAAATCCCAGAGTTCCTCAGCCAGCAACTCCCAGAGTTGAAGTCTACAGGTCTTAAAGTTGCCAAGGTTGGAGACCACTGGTCTACAGGACGTCCTCGATTTACAACAACTTTCTTAGTGACTGTTTGAAGTTACAACAGCATCGAAACAAAGTGACCTATGACCTTTTTTCCTGCTGATGACCCTTGCAAGGATCCCCACAGTCGTGTGGTCAAAATTTGGCTGCTTGGTGATCGACTCGTACTTATGACATCTGTGGTATCCCAGGGGTCATGTGGTCAAAATTTGGACACTTAGCGACCGACTTGTATTTACAACAGTCGCAATGCTCCGGGGTCATACCATCCCCTTTTGCAACCTTCCGACGAGCAAACTCGACGGGCAAGCCAGTTTTGCTTAACCACGGTTTCTGATTTAACCACTGCCTCGCTTAGCGATGGAAATTCTGAGCCCAATTATGGTGATAGGTTGAGGACCACCTGTGTTATTATTTCCTCCGCTGCCTTGAAGACACACCGAGTGCTTCTCTACGGGCAACAAACTCCCGGGATGTCTTATCACACTTGGACCAATCAAAGGCAGGATGGGGTGTCAAACTGGCGCCCCATGGACCTGATGCCTCATATGGAGGGCACACCCACCCCTGCTCCGTAAAGGGGGGGGGAAACACGCTGTGACATGTCCCGTGACGGCAATGGGACACGGCAAGTTTGACACCTGTGTTCTAACTGGCTGGCTTCTAGGAATTGACACCCTGCGTCCGTCTGGGGTTGTGATACGATGTGCAAGAAAACCACACAACGGACTCATCCAGAATTCCCCCAACCTTTCCAGGTTGGTGACATGAAGGGGAGGAGGGTGGATTATTTGGGGGGGTCCAGTGCATTTGCATCTGCGTCCACACCCAGAGGCGCCCTGATGTTTGCAGAGACACTCACGTGAGTGGATCCATGAACACCCGCCAACGACGCTGATTCGAGTGAGGCCACTGCGGGTGCAGAGGATTGTGCACCGCCTGCCTCCTCACACGGCCAAATGGCGATCAGCCCGCAGCCCTGAAGTGGGCCACAGATCACAGGTTGGGGACCCCTGCCTTATTCTGTACCCCAGACCAGGCCGAGGGAACCGTAGTTTTGCAGAGTGCCTGGTTCCTAAACATTTTCTGATGGCTTCGCTCGTTTGTGCGACTTGATTCCTGGCAAGCAGCGGATCGGCTTCGGGATCAGGAGTGGCGCCAGGCTGCAGACTGGTGCAGGGACAATGACCAGCACAGGGTTACAGATCGGGGCAGGGGGCGAGGACCAGGGTGGGGATATGAGGACCGGTGGGGAGCTGCGGACCTATGTGGTGCCACAGCCCAGGAGTTGGAAACTCTGAATCTAAGTCAACATCTCATCCCACAGAACTCCCGGGACGAACATCGCCAGCCAAACCTACTTTCGGGGACTCTCCCTTGGAGCCCGGCGGGAAGCGCAGGATCCAGAAGTTGCGGTTCTTCAACAGGTTCTCCATGTTTTCCAAGCGGCGTTGCAGTAGGCCGTATTCCTGAATGAGGGTCCCCAACGCGGCCCACTTGCTCTCCAGCTGCCCGCCGATCTCCCCCGTCGTCTTCTCGCAATCTAGAACCTTCTTCTCCACCGTCCCGGTTCTGCCTTCCAGGTCCAGCAGGCGGGTGGTGTGCAAATCCACCTTCTTCTCCATGGCTTGGAAGGAGGCCACCAAAGTCAGGGCAATCTCAGCCACTTGATCCTCCCGGTCAAAGATTTGGTTGGAATCGGCAGGTGTCGGCAGAAGACGACAGGCAGGTGTTGCATCCCGTTGAGATGCCTGCTGGGGAGGATGGAGAGGACAAATTTAGGGTACCACCCGTGCACCCCTGCTTATGATGCCATGTCTCCCGATACTGCCTGGTACTTAGTCCTCAACTCACGATGCCTCATTTAGTGACCACTCAAAGTTACAACGGACCCCCCCAAAAGGGACCCTTTTTTCACTTACAACCTGTCAAAATTATGACGGTGGGCAACTGGCTCATATTTACGACGGTTGTAGCGTCCCCTTTTGCAATCTTCCGATAAACAGGAAGCCGGATTCACTTAACAGCCATGTGACTCCCAGTTAAAACCACAATGATTTACTTAATGACCATGACAGGAAATGTCGCAAAAGGGGGCAAAATGCCCTTAACAAATATCTCGCATTTTTTGACTGCAGAAATTTTTGGGGTTCCATTATGGTCGTAAGTCGAGGACTAGCATTATATGGAAATAGGCACTTTCACCATTTTAACTTTATTTCTAAATTTATTTGCTGCTTGTCTCACTTCGGGCCGGTTCCCCAATCTTCCCGGAAGATTATAAGTATAGGTAGTCCTCGACTCTCAACCATTCACACTTAGCGACCGTTTGAAGTTGCAGCGGTATTGAAAAACGACTGTCCCTGCATCCCCCACAGTCACAGTCATGGGATCCAACATGCAGGCTCTAGTCAACTGACTCATATTTACGACAGTTGGAGGGTCCTGCGGGGAGGGGTCTCCTTTGCGACCTTCCCAGCCAAGTCAAGGATTCACTTAATGGTCACACGATTCACTTAACAACTGTGGCAGCTCTTAAGGTGTGTAAGGGGGGGGGAGTCATTTAAACAAGTGGGACTTGCTTAAGATCTGCTTCACATAACAACCAGCTGTGGTTGTAAGTCTAGGACATATGGTTTTATACGGAATCCTCTTTAGTTGAAAGTTTCTGTCCTTGGAAGAAGGAAGACTAAATAATTTTTAATTGTGTTGAGGAATCGGATCGCAGCTTAATAGGCAAAGGAAATAAATTTAAAACCTGCATTCCTTTTCTTTCTTTTTTCTTTCCTTCCTTTTTTCCTTCCTTCCTTCATCCCTACCTTCCTTCCATCATTAATTCATTACTTCCTTTCCCTTCCCTTTCTTTTCTTTTCTTGCTTCCTTCCTTCATTTACTTCCTTCTTCCGACTTCCTCTCGCCCCGTTCTATGACGCTTCTGGCCACAGTGGATAAGTGAATCCCTCCAGTCGTTTACGTGAGTAATAGCGTCGTTAAGTGAATCAGATTTTGGGTCGCAAGAGCTGATCACGTGAGCCCCCGGGATGTTAAGCGAATCAGGTTCCCCTCCCCCCCCCCGACGACCTTGTAAGTCGGAAAGAGGATCACTGCGACCGTTGTAAATACGAGTCGGTTTCCAAGCATAGGACTTTTGAGCCCCCGATGGTTGTTAAACATGACACAAGCGGTCCTCAGGTGTCCCTTTTTCCCCCCAAGGACGTTGTACCCGGGAAGGGTCCCTGAATGAACCAACACAGGCCCCAAAGAAATATATTATATTATAAATCAATTTTTATAGCTTTTTGGCAGCATGTCATCCATCTGTAAGACAGGTGGCTGAATAAATTGGATAAATAAATATAAATGCATGCAACATAACAAGGGGAGGAAACATATTTTTCCCTGGTTGAGCTGAAATTTAGCTTCCTTTTTTCCTTTCCATTCCTCCTCCCTTCCTTCTGTCATTACTTCCTTCTGCCCTCCCTTCCTCTTCCTATTCTTTTCCTTCCTTCCCTCCTCCCTTTCCTGCCTTCCCTTTTTTTCCTTCCTTCCTTCATTTCCTACCTTCTACTCTCCCTTCCTTTTCCTTTCTCCCTTGCTTTTCATTCCTTTTTCCTTCCTTCCCTCCCTTTTCCCTTCCTTCGTTTCTTTCCTACCATTCTCCCTTCCTTTTTGCTTTTCATTTGCTTTCTTCTACCCTCCCTTCTCTTCTTTTTCCTTTCTCCCCTTCTTTCCTTATTCCTTCCTTCCCTTTCTACTTCCTTCCTTCCTTTCCTTCTACCCTCCCTTCCCTTCCCTTTTTCCTTCCACCTTCCCTCCTTTCCCTTCCCACCTTCCTTCTGTCATTAATTAATTTAAATACTTCCTTCTCCCCTCCCTTTCCCCTTCTCTTTTCTTCCCTTTCTTTCTTTTCCTGTTTTCCTTCCTTCCTTTTCATTTACTTCATTCTACCCTCGGTTCCTTTCCCTTTTTCTTTCCTCCTTCTTTCCTTTCCTTCCTCCTTCCCTTCATACATTCATTACTTCCTCCTTCTCTCCCATCCCTTCCTCTCCCTTCCTCCTTGTTTTCATTCCTTCCTTTTCCTTCCATCCTCCCTCCCTAGATCCATTACTTCCTTCTTACCTCACTTCCCTTCCTCCTTTCTTTTGCTCCTCCCTCCCTCCCTCCCATCCTACGTTCATTAGCATCCTCTGACACCTGTGTAGGGCATTTGTCACCAAAATACTACAGGTAGTCCTCAAATTACAACCATTTCTTTTAGTGACTGTTTGGAGTCGCAACAGCCCTGGAAAAGCTGTTCTTTGATGCTTGCCACCGTGGCAATGTCCCCTAGGGTCACGGACTCAAAATCCAGACGCCCAGACTCAAATTTATGACATAGTCACGGTTTCACGACGTGATTCCCTCTCCCGAACCTTCTCATTCCCTTAACGACCGCCTGCCTAACGGTTCGATTAGCCACCCAGGCAAGGAAAGTCATAAACCGGGAGAAGCCCCTTTTAACAAACGTCTCACTGCGCAACATAAATTTTGGGGCTCGTAAAGTCAAGGACAGAAAACAATACAGAACAGAATAGAGAATAGAGGCAGGGGGAGATTTGCGGGTTGGCTCAAGAGCTCCCCCTGCTCGCCCCGGAGATCAGGAATCCCGGGGACCCTCCGATCTCCATCCTGAGCTTAGGAAGACGACGTGGGAAGGGGGGTTACTGGCAGACGTTTCGTGACCCGACTAGGGAACGTCATCGATGTTGTGAGAAACGGAGGGATGCTCTTAGAAGTGCCTTTTGGTCGGGTGATGTTCCCTAGTTGGGTCATGAAACGTCCCTTCCTCCTGCTTTTCTCCTCCTCCTCCTCTTCCGATTCTCCTCCTCCTGCTTTTCTCCTCCTCCCCTTCCTAATTCCCTTTCTCCTTCTCCCCGTTTCCTCCTCCTCCTCCTCTTGGACTAGATGGTCTCTGGAGTTCCCCTTTAGGCTCCCCATTAGGGCTCAGCCCAAGGACAGTCAGCTTCCCAAAAGGCCATTTGGGGTGGGGGGGAGATGCCCCGTGGGCCAAAGAGGAGAATAGAATAGAATAAAATAGAGAGAACAGAAAGAAAATAAAGGGAAAAAAAGGAAGAGGAATAGAATAGCAAAGTTGGAAAGGACCATCCAGTCTCCAAGCCAGGCCCCAAGAAGGTCCAACCTGGGGGTGGGGCTGAAAGGGGCTGTCAAACCCAGAGGCTGGTATAGGGCCATTTCTAAGGGGTGGGTGGGGTCTTTTTTAAGGGGGGTGGGGTCTTTAGCCAAAGCCGGCCTCTGGGGGCTGACCATCCAGCCAGGACTCAAGAAGGGGGGCAGGCAGCAGTCCAGCCTGGGGGTCCCAAGGGAGGGATCAAACCCCCCTATATTTAGAGGGGGGACCCTTAAGCCTAAGCCACCCTCTGGGGGTGGACGCCCCCTCCCCACAGCCTCCCTGCCAGGCACCCCCAAACGGGCAGGGAAAAAGCAGCAGTCCAACTCGGGCCACTGCCCCAGCGGAGGGGGTGGCATCCCCAGGGGGGGAACAGCCGCTCCTTCCCTTTCACCCCCGCCCGCAACTGCTCTTCCCGGTACACCCCCCCGCGCGCTCTTAGCGCCGCTCTTCCCGGTCACCCCCGCCCCCCTGCGCACGCTCTATACGCGCCTCCAGCGGCTCTTCCCGCTACCCCCCCCCCCCTGCTCCGTTGTCAGACGGGCCTTCGGGGGGGGGGTGGAGAGGGCGAAAGGAGGGGGCGCCGTCAGGTTTATCCCTCCTCCCCACCACCACCACCGGCGGTCCACCACCACCCCCCCCTCACCTGGGCAGGCGCCCCCCCCTCCATGATCCTTTGTTGCCCCCCCCGCCCGCGACGGGGCGCAGCGCCGCACAACGAGGCTCAGCCGGGCGAGGAGGCGGGAGGGGGAGGAGAAAGCGCCGCGGGGTCCTTGCGACCGCCGGATAGCTTTCCCTGCCCGGCGGCGCCTGCGCAGAACGGGCGCCGCCGCTGCGTCAAAAAACCGCCGGCGCTCTATAGAGTTCAGCCTGGTCTACGGTCCGCCGTACGTGCGGTTCCCTCGCGCGCTCAGACGTCACACACATAAACACCGCCGCCCTTGCTAGGTTCAACTTATTTTTTTACACAGTCCCCTTTTGTTTTCCCCCCCCCCCTCAATATTGATCTTGTGTTCCTCTCCAGGGAAGCCGGCCCGATTGGAGTCGGGCGGTCCGAGAAACGGAATCAATCCCTGTAAGGAAGAATGGAGGGAGAGATGGAGTGGAGATTGAAAGGGGATCAATACTTTATTTCAACGGAAGAGATGAGTTGGTCTCTCAAAAGAACTTTAAATCATAGTATATATTTATAGTTTGCTAAGTAAGTATGTATGACTAAGTCATTTAATGATAAATTAATAACAAGGATGAGGAAATAAAAATAAAATGAAATCAAGATAAAAATAAAACCATTGCAAACACTATCCAGATTTACTAACCATTCAAAAATATTAAAAAACATTAATTTTAATACTAAAATAGTTTATGTATGTATGTATATGTATGTGTGTGTGTGTCTGTGTGTTGTATTTGGGTTTCTGTCTGGATGGTCTCTTATGACGAGCCGATGGACAGAGAATGGAAGCAGTGAACTTCCTCCCATATTTGGGCATACCAGGGGTTGTGACTTTATAGATATAGATATAGATATAGTTATTCAGGTTTTCTCCCGTGAAAAATTGGAGATGTCTTGGCGACGTTTCGACGAAGTCTCATTCGTCATCTTCAGGCTCGGTGCTTCCAGGAGCAATGTGAGATCTCGGCTGTTTCTTCCTTTTAACTGCCAGTGGGTAAACGGCCACATAACATGAACAGGCGGGACGATACCTCCCGCCTGCCAGCCATTTGGAAGCCTGCCCTTATTGATAAACGAGCCCCTAACATGATGAATGACACCAGGCCCACACTCACAAGAGCCACACAGGATATCACCACCAAACATCCACAAAGAAAGCAGACAAAAACCCACACTGATGAGGAGGCACAACCAAGGACCAGAAGCCAGACTGCAAATGCACAATTAGCCTCTTTAAACCCCTCCCATCCTTACATGAGACACAAACCCCCAACCAATCAGAACACACCTCCACCCAATCAGAACACAGCCAAGCTCCCACCCAGTCAGCTCAAACCCCAACTGACAGTTAAAAGGAAGAAACAGCCGAGATCTCACATTGCTCCTGGAAGCACAAAGCCTGAAGATGACAAATGAGACTTCGTCGAAACGTCGCCAAGACATCTCCAATTTTACACGGGAGAAAACAACCCCGAGGCCTGACCAAGGCACCCACCCGCCGCCCCTCTATGCCCACGGGGGACAAACCCAGCCTCCCTCCCATGCTGGGGTCCCCCCGCCCATGTCCGGAGGGGCCCCATCCAGCCCGTCGTTCCGGAAGCTGCCTGTTGCGGGGAGCTTGGTGGGTGGCAGGCCAGAGCCTGCGGGAATGGCCTCCGTGGCGGCTCTTGCAGGGGCCCCCATGGCTCATTCCATGCGGGGGTCGCCTCTTCCGGGGGAGCCATGGCCGGTGCAGCAAGTGGCAGGGCCAGTCAGGTGGGCAAGACCCTCACGAACCTTGCCACTGCTGGCAACAGCATGACCCTGCCCGGAGGGAACCACCCTGGGAATGTTTCTTTCTTCGCATGCTGTTGGTAAATGTGCCCGGTCCAACGTCTTTCCAGCAATTTAAAATTGTTTCTCACATAGACAATTATATGTTGCGTGTTCTAAAGTCGGCAAACCAGGCAATCTCTATATCTGCACAGACAATGGAACAACAAAAAATATTGTATACCCACAAGCATTGTGAAATTAAACATATGCTTTTGAACTGCTCGGTCGGCGAAAGCTGGGAAAAGTAATGGGAGCTCCCTCCGCTACGCGGAGCTATGGATTCGAACCGCTGAACCGTGGAATTTTGGGATCGACGAGCTCAGTGTCTTAGCCACTGCGTTCCTAAATATAATAATATAATTTATAAGTGAAATATAATATATAATTTTTATAACGTAAATAGATAAAATGTTTTTTTGAATATTATGTTAATATTATTACACTTAATATATATTAGTACATTTAATAAAATAGTCATTTTTAAACCAATAAAGATTAAACTGGTACTAAATAAGTATTAAATAAATGAAGTGGGTGGGCGCAAGGGGAGGGATCCCCAGGGATCCCCATCCTGACCCTTGCTCCGTGCCCCTCTTGCAAGACAGAACCCTCTTCTCGTGGTCGATGGGAAGCAGGAAGCGTCGATGCGGTTTCACAGGAACCTGTCCTCTTGGTGGGGTGAGGGGAAGTTTGGTCCAGAGATGAAGAACGAACCCCTCTGCCGTCTCCTGCAGCGCCGCCCAGAAAGGAGTGGGAATTGCAGTTGGGGAGGACCGGGGAGAAGCTGCTCTTCCTGTAATTCAGCAAAAGGGGTAATTCTGGGGTACACGATTTTCCAACCTCTGAGTTACCCCCATTTGCATCCTGGAAATCCTCCAGTCCTTGAGTTACAACCACTTGTTTAGTGACCATTCAGTTACAACAGCACCAAAATGACTTATGACCGTGTTTCCCATTTACAAAAAAGGAAGGGGGGGGAGGACTATGCATAGTATTCATCTATGATTAATATTAATTATATTCATTTATCATTAATTAAAAATTATGCATATTAATCATTTATATTAGTACTATTATTAGCTTAAATAATTATTGTATATTATGCCTATTATTCATGTATTAATTGTCAATGAATGACATGCAGAGTATTTAATCATTTAATAAATGAATATTACTATTCATGTATTATTAAATTATTAAATATTACTAATGTGATTATTGTCATCTTTATGTGTATTTTTTTATAAATATAATTATATATTATATTAAATATATTACATGACTTGAAACTTATAAACTTGAAAATACTCACGCAGGAATCAGGAAATCTCAGAAACCTTAACGTCTACAAACTTGAAATTTGGCACATATGTTTCTCTTGGCTTCTATGTGCTGGGTAAGAAAGGATTTTTCAAAATGACTATCAGAGCATTAGTACTTCATATATTATTATTAACATGCTGTGATATTAAGGAGTTAGATGTTCTACTCCCCCTCCCAACCTGAAAACTTGGACATGGGCATGGCCACTCCATGACTCATCTGGCCTGCTGGCTTGGAGTTTGGAGAAGAGCCTGAGGGAGAGAAGGGGATAGGATAGGTGGGGCTTCTGTGGGGAAAACCTGAGGGAGAGAAGGTGATAGTGAGGCTTCTATGAGGCAAATTTGAGGGACAGAAGAGGACAAGATAGGTGGGGCTTCTGTGAGGTAAACCTGAGAGAGAGAAGGTGATAGTGGGGCTTCTGTGAGGCAAACCTGAGAGAGAAGGGGATAGGTGGGACTTCTGCAGGGTAAACCTGAGGGAGTCAAGGTGACAGGATATGTGGGTCTTCTGTGGGGCGAGCCTGAGGGAGAGAAGTGGGTAGGAGAGGAGAGGGCAAGCCTGTGGGAGAGAGGATAAGAAAGGTGGGGCTTCTGTGAGGCAAGCCTGAGGGAGAGAAGGTGATAAGATACGAGAGGTCTCTGTGGAGCAAGGCTGAGGGAGAGAAGGGGAGAGGTTGATGGTAGCTATTCATTAATTTTTAAGCTGTAGGTGTTGATTTATCAAGCTCGATCACATAGTTTTGAAGCGGAGCACGGATATTCAGCTAGTAATATATAATTATAACTTATATAATAATGTAAATGAAAAATATAACATTAATATTATTTTGTTTTTATTCAATTCAGACTCTTTGAAATGGGCTTGTGTTTATGATGCTCGCAGTGTCCCATAGGGGGGTGGGGGGGTGTCACGTAATCCCCCCTTTTGCGTCTGACGAGCAGAGCCCATTGGAAAGCCAGATTCGCTTCCTGACCATGTCCCTCATCGAATAACTCCGGTGATTCGCAAGGACTTCCTGGAGCTTCTATATCCAGACAATAGAGTCTTCACATCTTGTGTTCTGAAAATTGAATAATTTTCAACACGGTCACATGTCCTTAAGTGAGAACTTTGGATTTTATTACTTAATGATTGCCTAATTTGTTTTCTGGATTTGTCAGCATTATAACGAAATCCAAAATATTCTTCCCGTTGGCTTCTTAACAGCCCATTGTGGATAAAATATGTGGAACGTTTTGTGTGTCACTTCCTGTTGTGTTGCTCCACCTGACCTAGCTTGCAGGAATCCACACAACCACACAAAAGAACAATTTCCCATCCCAGCTGCCTCGTTTTGTATGAATTGATCTGCAACTTTGTCCACCTCAACACCCTTGATGAATAAAAAGCAGTAATTCAGCTTTGCAGAAGAATTATTTGTAATAGTATTTCCAAGACATAAACTGATTTAATTTAAAAAATTCATTTTATTTTATTTTCTTTATATATCACAATTAGGAACCGCCCGTCTCCCTCATAGAAACACTCTGAGCAATGCACACTATATAACGACAATGCAAGTAGGCCTTGACTTACAACAGTACCATTTAGTGACCATTCAAAATGTTAAGGGTCTGGAAAAAAAGATGACTTAAGACCATTTTTCACACTTATGACCACGTCAACGTAATCAAAATTCAGATGTTTGGCAACTGCCTCCTGTCAAGGGTATCGGCAAGAGAGGGTAAAAATCAGAATCGGGCTGGTGGCCATTTTGACTTTTTTGAACCATTCTGCACCTTGATCTCAGCAAAAGTCAAGGAATCGTTCAAGTAAAAAGAAATTGGTCCAGAATGGAATAGGGTCTCCTGCTTGAGCAGGGGGCTGGATTTCCATGCTCCCTTCTCACTCGTTCTCACTATGGGTCTGGCCTTCTGCCTCCGGTTCTGGGGATCAAATATGTGACCAAAGACAGTTCTCTGCTTGTTTCAAAATGGCTGCCTAAACTCTGCTTCCCAGACACCATCACTCCTACCGGGGATATGACTCTTGTCCAAGTCCAGGCTCTACATCATCTGCCTGGACCCCGATTCCATCCCTTTGGCCATGCTCGTTCATCTGAGTGGGATGATTCTCCAGCCACATTGCCTCCCCCTCGTGTAGGCGCTGGTGTCCCACCAGATGCTGCTTACGGGTGAAGGTCTTTGGGCAGAGCGCGCATCGGTAGGGCCTCTCACCCGTGTGCAGCCGCCTGTGAGTGGCAAGATGCTCCTTACGGATAAATGTCTTCCCGCACTCCCCACAGGTGTATGGCCGCTCTCCAGTGTGGATCATCTGGTGCCGTAAGAAATTCGAGTGGTGGTTGAAATTCCGGCCGCACTCGCCGCAGATGTAGCAGCCGGGTTTTTTGGTGACTGCGTGAGTACGCTCGTGAAGGTGCAGGTTGATTTTCAGCCGGAAAGACTTTTTGCACTCGGCACAAATGTGCGGTCGATCGCCCGTGTGCCAGAGGCGGTGTTTGCTCAGGCTGGCCTGGTGGGGGAACCAGCGCCCGCAATCCGGACAGGTATATGCCCTGACCTCTGGCTGGTGATGTTGTGTGGGACTGTCCCTGAGGTCTGCAGAGACCTGGAGATGAGATTGTTGGTGCAAGGCGCACTGTATCTCGTACAAGAAACTCCTGCCACAATCAGAACATATATATGGCCCTTCACCAGGAAGCACTCCTTCCTGGACGACGATGGTGGTGAAATTTGCGACATCTGCTCCAGACTCTGCCGACTGTTCTATTGCACCCATCCGACTGTCCACTGGCACCAAGTCCTCCTCTGCGGAGGGTGTCACATCCTGTTCCAAAGACCCAGGGGAGAGGCTGAGCTGACCCAGGTTTCCAGGCTTTGCCTCAGCTATGTCGGATGTCGGCAAGAGGACAGCAGCTTCTATGGAAAAGGATCAGAAAACAAAGCATTTGGGAATGCTTTTGGAATTGTTGCCCCTGCGAATGGATTCCCTGCAAATTACCTGCTCTGTCTTTTCGGACATCTTCTGCGTCATCAGAGGGTCCTTGGTGTTCACCACTTAAAGATGTCCCAGCTTCCATCAGGGACAATGAACCAGATTTTGAAGTAGCACAATCTGGAGGGAGGGAGGGAGGGAGAAAGGAAGATACGGAGAAGGAAAGGAAAGAGGGAAGGAAATGGGAAAGGAAAATGGAAAAAGAAAAGAAAAGCAAAATAAAAAAGGAAAGAATGAAAAGGCATGAAAATTCCTTATTGGTTCAAGGCACCTGGCCCTAAATGCAGTCTTATGACCACATTTCCCTTACTAAGTGAGTCAGTGTCTTGCCCCCGGTTTACGACTTTTCTTGCCACAGCCTATTAAGCGAATCTTTGCATTTGCCAAGTTAGAAATCCGGTCGCTAAGTGAATCTGGATTTCCCCCGTTTTGACTTTCCTTGTCAAAAGGCTGCAAAAGATGACCCTGGGACACGGCAACCATTATAAATACGAACCCATTGCCAAGCGCCTGTATTTTGACCACGTGACTACACGGATCTGCCACGGCCATAAGTGTGAAAAATGGTCATAAGTCCCTTTTTTTCCCCAGTGTCGTTCTAACTGCAAAACGGTCCCTAAACTCAACGCCAGGGTTCCAAATAGCATCCAAAATTATTAAATCAGAGTCCGAGGCAAAGGATTCCTCAAAGTCCCAATTTATGAAGAGAGCCACGTGGGCAAATCTGGGGAAACCCGAATCTGAAAGCTTCGCAATTCGCAATTTAATGGGTTTATATGCCGCCCAATCCTGGGGGGACTCCAGGCGGCTTACAAATACGAAATGAAATAAAATAAAATAGCACATAGGGGAAAGAATACCAACAATTTAAAAAAAAACAACACAACATACATTTGGTTTAACTGGGGGTTGGACCTGATTTAAAAATCAGCAACCCCAGGCCTGTCGGAACAGCCAGGTTTTGGTGGCTTTTTGGAAGGCCACGAGGGTGGGGAGGGTCCGGATCTCTGCTGGTAGCTCGTTCCACAGAGCTTCTCGGTTCCCCCCACACAACACCAGTTGAAAGTTCAAGATCTTGCCTCCACCCACACAAATCCATCCCATTATCTAATCTCCCATTGCTTCGCTGGCAGCTTCTATCCACCCAGTTGCAGCTGGGCCAGAGACAAAGGCTGACCTTGGCCTTCTAGAAAGAATTTTGTTATGGCTACGTCTCCCCCAGCTCCGTACAATCCCCCCCTCCCGTTTTCTCACAACAGAAAACAGACAGCAGAAAGTGTAGCAGGCCTGAAGTCTAAAAGTGACTTGTCAGGCATGATACTCAAAGATGGTTTCAATATTCCTAATTCTTACGAAATCCCAATATGAACCAAATTCGGACTTGGGAATTGACTCGAATTTATGACAGTCGCAGTGTCCTGGGGGGGTGTCACATGATCCCTGTTGGCGACCTCCTTCTGAAGAAGGGGGGGGGGAGAGTCCAGTTCACTTAACAACTGTGTTCTAATGGAAGAACTGCCGCGATTCACTGAACAACTGGGGCAGGAAAGTTGTAAAAGGGGGAGGCGGGGACTTCCCAACCATCGAGCTTAGCAATGGACGTTTCGAGGCCAACCACGGGTCGTAAGTTGAGGAGTTAAAAAAAATTTTTTTTTCACCATTGCTAAGTCGAGATTCGGTCCCTTCTCATTCGCCCAACACAACATGCCAGGTGTTAAGTTTCCAGGTAGGGCGAGACCTAATCCCAAATCATTTTGGTCACCTCCGAGATCTGGCCCACTCATCCCTCAACCCCTTTACCCGTTGAAACCAAGGACTCTGCAGGCTTCTGGCGCTCCTTCGGTACCAAGTTCGACTCCTCCCACTCCCGTTCCGAGCAATAGACTGAGACATTGTCGAAGTTCACAGGAACCTGAATACAGAAGCCGGGAAGATCTCAGATCAGCTGGGCAAGGTGTGGTCCCCCCCTCCCACAAAATGTGCCCCACTCCTGGGACCACCCGTCCCATATCCAAGCGCCCCCCCCCCCTACACACGGGCAGTTGGCAGGGAGCAGAATGAAAGCGAGTGATAGATAGATAGATAGATAGATAGATAGATAGATAGATAGATAGACAGACAGACAGACAGACAGACAGACAGACAGACAGGAGAAAGGTGAGAGCTAGCTAGCTAGATATGGATGAATGGATGGATGGACGGACGGACAGACAGAATGGCAGATGAGAGATAGATTAGAGACAGACAGAGAGACCACAATTCTGATATGAAGTTGTTCTCAATTCAAGCGAGGACTGGGTTCAAAAACCTCCTCACCCCCCCAACCCTCACTCCCACCAATGCCCTATTCTGCCACTGCCACTAACTCCATCAAACCTAGTCTACTTCCTTTCTCAAGCTAAGATCAAGCCACGATTACGGGTATCGCTACATGTCTCCATCCTGTCCCCTCTGACCTGCGGGGTTTCCCTTCCGGTGCCTGGTGGGACGTTCAACAGCCAGAAGTTCTGGTTCTTCAGCTGCTCCTCCAACTTCTCCACCCGCTGGTGCAGCTGCCCGAAGGCCTGAGCCATCGTCCCCAGCGCGTCCAGATGGGGCATCAAGTCGGTCACCATCTTCTCTGTCACGGAGAGTTTGTGCTCTGCCAGATCGGCCCGCCGTCGCAGAGTCCGGAGCTCTCCCGTGTGAACATCCACCTTCCTCTCCACCGCCTGCATGGCCGCCAGCAACGTCCAGAAGGAGATTTCAGTTGTTGGGCGGTGGGCCGCCGCTTCGCATCCTGGCTTTGGTGGCGGCCAGAAGAGTCCCGGTGGTGGCGGCGGCGGCAAGCCAGCTGGATTCCACTAAGGGTGGAAACACTCACTAAAGATCACCGAAACCCTCATCCCCTGCTTTCTGAACATCAGCCTCCACAGCGAATCCTAAGAAATATTCGCTTCGCAGCCATTCAGCACTGAAAAGAGGGAGTCCTCACACTTACAACCATATCCTCCAAACTGGGGTACGGGGAGTCCTCAACACATGACCGCAACAGCCCCCCCCAATTTCTGTGGCTAAATTAAGAAACTTGTGAAGCATTTTTCTTATTTTACTATTGTTCCCACCACCATTGTTTAACGAATCCCGGTGATTGTAAAGTCAGCAACATGGATATCATCAAAATACGGCTTCCCTGCCAACGGTTCAGTGAATCGATCAAGTTGTTAAGCGAATCCGGAAGTCATTAAGTGAACCTATCTTGCCCTTTGACGTGGTCTGTTGGAAAGTCGCAAAACGGGGACTGCAACCATCATAAACCCAAGTCAGTTGCCAAGTGTCTGAATTTTGATCATATGACCATGGACTGCCACGATCATAAGTGCAAAAAAAGTCATAAGACACTTTTGTTAACTTCAAGTGGTCACTAAGTGAACCATTGTAAACTGAGGACTATCTATAGTAGGCAACCAGCATGAATTCATGACCGTTTCGGTGTCTCGGGGGCGCGAGATCCCCTTTTGGGACTTTCCAACAAGCAACAACAAAGAGGCAAGCCAGCTTCACTTAATGACTGCACTGATTCACTTAACAATCGTGGCTTAAAAAAAGGAAGGAGAGAAGGAAGGAGGGAACGAAGGAGAGAAGAAAGGAGGGAAGGAAGGAGGGAACGAAGGAGGAAAGGAGAGAAGGAAGGAGGGAAGGAAGGGGGAAGGAAGGAGGGAAGGAAGAAGGAGAGATGGAAGGAGGGAAGGAAGGAGGGAAGGAAGGAGGGAAGGAAGGAGAGAAGAAAGGAGGGAAGGAAGGAGGGAAGGAGAGAAGGAGAGAAGAAAGGAGGGAAGGAAGGAGGGAAGGAGAGAAGGAGAGAAGAAAGGAGGGAAGGAAGGGGGAAGGAAGGAGGGAGGGAAGAAAGGAGGGAAGGAA